CTTGCCAGTGTCATGGATAGGCTACAAATCTCAGTCATGCTAAATGAATTGTTTTTGTAAGTGCACGCTAAGTGTTCGATAACTTGCTTAAGCTTGATCTCTCTTATTCAAAGACACTTCTAATCATCTCTATTATTCGAGGCAAGGTCTAAAATCTCGCATCTTTGCAGGTGAGCCCTAAATCGTGAATTTCTTATAATCGGAGGTAGCTTTCTATACGTCATCATTCCCTGGATAAGAGAAGATGCGACATATTTTAGAATCTTTGTTCCTTAAATAAAAGAAAAGACGCCATATTTTGGAATCCCCGTTCCTTGAAAAAAAAAAAAAAGAGGCAAATTACTAGACGTGTTTATCCTTACAAAATGAGTTATTTCGCTTCGCGAGATGCTTATTCCTTGCCTCTCACTATCGTTGAACCTAACTGTAAGACCTCGTCTACCCGATGCTGCTTATAAGACACCGATAGTTCGAAATCTATATGCATGATGTTTATTCCCCGCCTCACTATATGCTTTGGCTTCGTGAGATGCTTATTCCTCGCCTCTCACTATCGTTGAGGCTAACTGTAAGACCTCGTCTGTCCGAGGCCGCTTATAAGACTCCGATAGTTTGAGAGCTACTCGCAAGATATTTATTCCTTGCCTCGCTGATGCTTATTCTAAGCTTCACGATATGCTTATTCATCGCCTCTCACTATCGTTGAGCCTAACTGTAAGACCTTGTTTACCCGAGGCTGCTTATAAGACTCAGATAGTTCGAAATCTATTCACGGGATGTTTATTCCCTACCTCGCCGATGCTTATACATGGCTTTAAGAGATGCTTATTACTCGTCTCTCACTATTGTTGAGCATAGTTGTAAGATATCGTCTATCCGAGGTTGCTTATAAAACAACCATAGTTCGAAAGATATTCGCAAGATTTTTATTCTGTCTCACGGAATGCTTATTCCTCACATCCAGGATGTTTATTCCCTGCTTATTCTTGGTTTTGCGAGATGCTTATTCATCGCCTTTCACCATCATTGAGCCTAGGTGTAGGATATCGTCTATGAGTCCGCTCATAAAACTCCGATCGTTCGAGAGCTATTCGCGAGATGTTTATTCTTTGCCTCGTCCATATTTATTCTTGGTTTCGCGAAATGTTTATTCATCGTCTCTCACTATTGCCAAGCTTAGCTATAAGATCTCATCTATCTGGAACTACTTATAAGTCTCCGATAGTTCGAGAGAGCCACCAGCTCGATATTTTTTGTGATGTCTCTCCACGCGAGATGATTGTGCTTATGCTTCTGTTATGGATTCTCACTATCGTCGAGCACAATTATAAGATCTCATCCTTTAGAGGCAAGATTGTAAGACTCCGATAGCTCAAGACGAGCAACGAACCACTTGCTCGATATTCATTATTCGCTCTGTGAAGATTTCTCAATATACCAGCTGTTGCAACACAAATGCATTTATATTCAAGAGAGATCATCGTGCCTTTACATCAGCTTATCACAAGCTGCTTACATACTCAGAGCCGCGCCTTTGCATTAGCTATCAAATAGCTATATCTATCTTCCCATAGCTCATCACGACTCTTCATTGATTGCATTATAGCTGCCTATCTTTCAGAGCTTTACTTGTGCTTCAGCTATGCCATATTTACTCATCTTCAGAGAACTTATATTATCCCTTGCATGGATGAACCATCCACCATGAAGGAAGCCCTTAGCATAAGTGAACCATCCACTAAGTAAAGATGTCATCTACAGCTTCGTAAGGAGAGGGATGGACCCACCTTAATACCTAAAAAGACAAAGCCTTCTAGGCTAGATCAAGCACCATGGAGGAAGCCCTTGACATGGATGCGCCACCGCCATGTAAGGATGTCAGCTTATCATAGCTGTTTATATTCTGAGTATCGTCTCTGCATCAACTTTATTGCAGCTACATCTTCAGAGCATTGTCCTTATCTAAAAATCCACATATTATACGAATAATCATACCTGGACTGGATAGATTATTGTGACATTAATATTTTAGTATCATTACATTATTATTGCTAGCATATGTATTATATTATTGCTATAAAGTACGTATGCCACGTTATCTTCATTTTCATTTTATTATCGAATTATGCTACTTGATTCACTATAGCATTATTATTACACTAAGTTGTGCAAGCATATGACCTTTTACGATACATGGTAGGCTCTCTACATATTATATGTTAGAGAAATGTGATGTCATTATTTACTTGACCATCATGAGTAATTTGAGGGGCAAATGGATTCCAATTTATTTTATATATGTGCGATAGAGATATTATGTTGTATTACAAATTTGTTTAGTCTATATCATAAAGGAGATGTTGTCGAAATTTCGACAAATTATAAGCGACATCTTTCGAGACAATTTGTAAATCTTCGATTATTCAAGGTCGCACACAAATTTTATGAGGTAGTTCGTAAGTCCTCACTTATTGGAGTGATTTATCTTCTCAACGCAATTCGTAAGTCATCGTCTATTTGGGATCAATGTATATTTTCGAAACAGTTCGTAAGTCCTTACTTATTGGAGCTACTCATATTTTTAAGGCAATATGTAAGACCTTGTCCACTTGACGCTTATATTTCGAAGTCCAGCCCGCACATATTTACTCAGACTCGAGGGACTATTGTTACACCTATAAATTACGTAGCATGCTTAGACTGAGAGGGCCCCATATATATCGACGTGATATCGATTATTCAAATTGACTGGACCTTATTTAATTAAATAATTGTATATTGGGCTTGAACTTGGGCCCATCTCACTAATATCACTTGGTCCATTTCTATTTCTCTATATATATTGGGTTCAATTTCACATAAAATGTATGTTTATTATAACCTTAGCCAAACACTTTTTTTCATCTCTTCCACTCATTTCTCTTTTGTCCGACCGTTAACTTNAGAACTCTGAGATTCTATTAGCATATTTTTTGAAGTCAACAATCTACGCTTTTAATTAAGTGCTTGTTTGGGAGGGATTTTTGGGGGAAGAATTGATTTTGAATAGTGATATGATGGGAAATGTGTGGTTGAAAAAGAAGAAAAAATTATTGATGTGATGGAAAATATTATTTTATTGAAGAATGTGTGGTTGAAAATGAGAATTGATTTACCATAGAATTTTGAGAATCCCTCCCAAATAGGGCCTAAGATTCAATTATCAATTTCAGGACGTAGGGAAATGAAATTTTAATTATGGGAAAAAATTAAAGAGAATTATCACAAATCCTTGCATTTCTTCAATCCGTCTTGAACACTCTCTTTTAGCATTCTTAGTCTAAACCAAGTAAAAAATCTACAATTCATATGTAGGAATGAGTATTCTTGTATCTTACATCTTGTTCTCTCTCTTAAGCTTGGTTTCACTGAATTTTGGCTTAAAAGAGGCAGAGAAATAGATTCATCATTCCACTCGAATAGATTCAAGAACGTGAGAACGAACTAAAGTAGATTAAAAATGAGTCTGAATTCCATTTCATAAAGAGGTTGCATAGAGAGGAAATAGATATTTTTGAACCATGCGATCACATGATCGGACCAACTGGGATCGCATGGCAAGCCAAGTTGATTGCAAGATTCCAACGGAAGGACCTTGCAATCGACAAGGTATTCACTTTGTAATCACAGGGTATTAACTTTTTTATTCATTTACTTTGATCCCTGATATTTTCTTTATTTAAGCTCAAGTCCCCTTTTATATTTTATATTAGTCCTTCAACTTTCAATTTACCCAATTGATCCACGTCCTCTTCAATTATTCATCACTGGTCTAAATCAACTTTTGAAAATTTACAATTTGAACCCAAACTTTTACAATTAGCCTTGTTTGGTTGTATATCTTAATCGAAGTCGAAGTCATATTTCATAGATTCCACAACTTTTTAATTAGACATTCCGTCAATTTTTATTAAAATCTACTAAAAAATTATTTTTATCCTACATCAAACAGGGCTTATTTTTCTTTCGCACTTTTTCGGCCCATTTTCACTTCTTTTCATCATTAACCTTCCAACATCGAATTTATCCTACCATCGATATTTAACCAAATTAAGTAATAATTCCATTAAATTGACTTCTTAATATCAACTTTTGACAATCATTATAAGTGTAAAATCACACTTGCCAATGGCTTCCACGTAGCCTAGCCTCAAAGAAAATACCTACCTTGATTTATCATTCATTACCAATTCAGAGAAAACTAGGATTCATTCTGTGAGGAATAATCAAGAGACAAAATACTATTTCATACCCCTGCCTATCCTATTCAAATCTATTCCATTCACCCAGCTGACAGAGTCATTTTACACAGCAGAACAGTACCCCCCACCAACCCACCCACACAAAAGACTCGAATTCAATAACAGGGCTCAAAATTTTCTGCAATTGTTCACCATGAGTTTTTCTATTTTCTAAATCTGCCCCCAAGTGAAGTCCTTAGATTTATGAAGCCACATCCCTCCCTAGAACGTCAAAACAATACAAATTCAATGGTTTTCGAGCCACAAATCCCATCATACAAGTCTTGTATATGACATCAAGACCAAGGGATAAATTAACTAGGAAACCGACAGCCCAAAATTATGTCAGTGTAAGAGAGGACTCTCGGTAGGAACAAACCACTGGGTGAGGTGTGGTCGAAATAGAACCTATTCAGAGGCTTTATTTTCTGGATTTACTCTGTCCAAGGCAATGTGGGCAGTCCCCACCCGAGTGGGATTCAATCCAAAATACCGAATATGACTTGAGAAAATTAAATTGAATCACTGTTAGTTAAGCATCAGCCCAAGGAATGATTAAAGGCTTGAGCTGCAACATGGAATTTCTAAATGGCATGTATAACATGATACAAACACATTCAATAAATTATACACACACTAACTTGAACATTTGACTAGAAAAATACATACAACACACAGTACCGTTCAAATGCTACGAAAACTTTCAAACTCTGGAAATGTTTATGCATGTCTCTGAGCACCAGGTGGTGCAGTTGGCATTGGAAAGTTGTTGAATTGAGCTCCGGCAAATTGTGGAGCCTCCACTATGGTCTCTGTAAAATCCAGTTGTATCAATATTAATGGATAAAACAACATTGGATTATATGAGCGAGAATTTATTTAAGGTTATACTTAACGAATAAAATTTAAAACCTATTTTCCTCAAAATAGCTGATATTTTAGTGGAAGATGCTAATCTTTCTTCTGTTTAATTCAATGTTAGTCCCAGATAAATAAGGAAAATGTGTGCCCCCTTGGAACACTCGCCCTTTTTCTTTTTCCATTTTATCTTTTTTCCTTTGATTGGATTCTTTCTTCTTCTTCCTTTTCTAGTGTGTGCATGTGGAGGTGGAGGTGGAGGTGGTGGTGGTGGTGGGGGTGAGTAAAATCATCCTATTCCAGAAAAGTTTCACTTTCTAAAACAGATGAACTGTTTTAGCAAAAACTCTTTTAATTTTCATCTTTACGTAGAGAGAGAGAGAGAGAGAGAGAGTTTACAGGGGGAAACGAAAGCACAACCTGGTATGCTAATGCGTTGGGAGATACCCCTTCATCTTTTGGCAATCATTCTGATGTGTTAAAAGAAGAAGCATTGTTACTTGGTTCATTCCGATACAATTTGTGGACCGGGTCATTTCGTATACTTTCAGTCTCATTCCCATTGACTGTCTTCACCCTCTGAAGCATACGAAAAACGTTTACTTTTTTATATAATGAATGAAATACTTTATATGAAGGGAAAATGACGAGGATTTTGGGCATATATATTACCTGGAAAATTTTGCCCAAAGTTTTTAAACCCTTTGCTCGTAGACGAAGATCCTCTCTCTTCACATTGTTTTCTCGGAGAACCTAAGGAAATCATAATACATCATAATGGAGAAATTAAGGTGAGACATAAAACAGTTAACCAAAAGTTCAAGTCCTGAACAACCATCTGACAAACACGTGAGAGTGTAGCTTCAATATCAGCCACATTAAGCTTCCAGAGGGAATCAGTCATCAACGTCTTGTTAGATTCCATGTATTTTTCAAGTTCATCCTCAGTGTAGTTTCCTTCTTCACTAAGATGCCGCTTCATGTCTTCTTGTAGATGGATCAAAGCTATTGCACCCAAGAAAATTATAAATTAATTTAGTTCCATAAAATATTACAAATTAATTAATTAAAAAAAAGGAGGACATTACAACCATCAAGACAGTTTGTTGGCTCTGTATGAACTGGGATTATCAATTTTACAAATTGAGAGGCAAAGAAGACACATATAGCCAGCACAGATAAATAGGGAATATTTGTATTGAATTGAATACAACAGAACCAAATAACTGGAAATATATGTCAAACTAATATGCATAATAACAAGGCCTATGGTAAGAGTATATTTTAACCATATAACTGAAACTAAAAAGCTGGCCACAGGCCATGCATGGGTGAATTGAGAACTTATAAGCAAAAGAAACTATCTAATCATCGAACTTTAAAGACAAAACCCAAGAATAATCAAGATAAGATCTCACATCTTTCTGATGTAACAACCACCAACGTTGGTTGCGTTAGGATAATATGACTCATTTATATTGATATATGCATCTTCTACCTGTCGATATCAGTATAAGCAATCTGACCAATAGGCAGGGAGAAGGATCTGACTCAAATTCTAGTAGGCGGTATCAAAAGCCACCATTGTTGTACTATCCACTTGTGTAATCCTGAGTTGTGGAGTGAGCCATGGATCTATGGACCACGGATTGGACACAACAAAGATCATATCTTCATTGGCAGAGCTTTTACTACCTTGTCCCACCTGGTTTTGGAAGGATAATGTGATTGGTTTTCCCAAGACTAAAATAACTTTTATCTGTCAATATGGGCACAAACATTTTGGGCTAGTTGGTTAGTCCTGAACCATATTCGCATGATCAAAGGTCAGACTTTGTTCCTTTCAGCTATATTATTGCAGATCTCACCCAATGAAAAAAAAGAAATAGAAAAAAGAAAAAGAAACAGTATCCCTTTGAATCTTAAAAACGAAAGGAATGTAGAAATTCTTCAGCTTTAATTAACAATTTGTCATTAATATTATGTGAAATTGTACTTTTAAGTTATCTTATAACACCTTTTAAAGAATTGCAAAAGAACTAATGAAAGTAACTGGTAAGAGCACAGGCAGTATGACAAAATTAAGTTGTTTGTTGTACATAGAACATGATATTCGCAACGTACACTGTCCTCAGACTCCCAGATTCTCAATCTCGGGTCTTGATTTATTTGTACACAGTTTACAATTCATTTCAAACCTCCAAAACCAAGGGGAACCTAGGTATCATGGCCATATAGCCACTTTTGAACACTTGACTTTGAATTAGATACACGACAAGGTAACTAAACAAGGCAAAATATTTGATCTAAGTAAAAATATAGAAACCAAGCAAAATCAGCTTCTTGTCAAAACAGCATATGATAACTAACCTGCTGCAGCAGTTACTTGGGATTTTATGAAGTGTCCTTTGTTTCTGAACCACTCAGCAACAAATGGCACTCCCAGATACATCACCTTCTTTCCAAGCTCCTTTGCTGCCTGCCTTGCATATATATAGCCAATGGTATTCAGCATATCAACGCCATACGCTGTCGAAGAACATTAAATTGATGAGGCAAAGATAAATTGTTGACGCAAAGACTCTCTCCAATTGCAGTAAAAAGATGATAAAAAAGCAGCATACTGAAGAAAATGAATGTGACAAATGTTCACAGGGGGGAGAGAGAGTAAATAATAACTGTTCCTTCATTCAAGAAAAGAAAAACATTTTTTTGCCACAAAAGTCGCTTATAGAATGTGTCTACCTTTAACAGGCTTAACTGTATCACTGCTTTTGACAAGGCAACATGGCTTGTAAAACATAGCATCTTTTATATCATTGTTTTTCGGAAATCACTTATCAACAATAAATGTTTCATGGGTTCCTCTAGGGAACAACATTCTCATCAAACTGTTTGACAGCCAATTTACTTTGAATCCATCAAGTTAATTGAAACTTATACGAGGCAATGCCAGACTGAAACCATCAAGTTAGAGGGACTTCATTCACCTCACAAGTTTTTGAAGTCATAAATTTAATCATCTTGCATTGATCTTCATGACTAAAAAACTAAGGTATTATATGCTATCACATACAATCAATCTTGTTTTTAAAGATTGATCCACTAAAGTACATAATGTTCAGGCCAATTCTTTCCGGAAGGATAGGAAAATGGGCCATTCTATTATCCGATGTCAAATTTATTCCACAAAAGGCCATTAAAGGACAAGCTCGGTAGATTTCCTTGCTGATCATTCAAGTCTAGCGGAATGGGAACTTTATAAAGACCTTCTAGATGAAGATGTTTTGTTAGTGAAACAGTTCAATAAGAGTGACTGTTTACCTTTCGAACTTCAAAGTCATGGTGAAAATCTACCAATATGAACATTGGTTATCCCAAGATGGACATTGACTGGATAAATCTTGCTAAGCATAATTCTAAAGTGAATTTCCAAGAGGCTGCCCATGCTCATCTTGACACAAGAAAGCTGTAAGAAATCTCATGAAGCCTACTAGGATTTCATAAATCTCTCGTATAGCCCCCTATGATGAATACTGTAATGGATCCTATACAGATTGCATCGCAAGTGTTAGGATACGAAATGGTATGAAAGGGTTTTGAGACCAAATTCTGGCCTGTTGTGAGATGATAAACAAGAAACTTGAAGAAACATATTTTTAAATTCTCATGATGAAAGAATACATACCTATTGGTTGGCTGGATTTTCTAATTCTACAAGGGAGGTGAAATAAAAAATTAAGCAACTCTCTTAACTAAGGTTTTTATAAATTACTGTAGAGTTCCTATAAAAGTTTGACGCTACGTTGCTTGGACTCTCCATTTTAAAGGAAGCACCTGTTAGACGCACACAACAAGGGGTTTAGTTTTCAATAATAAGAATTACTAAATATTATATAAAATAGAAAATGAGGAACTTAATTGTAATTTGAACTTAGTGGAGCACTAAGTAGTTCTATATGGAACCAATTTTCATTTTATACAAACAAAATCCTAAACCACCGATATAGAGAGAGAGAGAAAGAAGGAAAAAAAGCAAAAAATGGAAAGAAGAAGAAAAAAAGGGAAAACCTAGCATCGCCGTCTTTCTTCACCCTCTCGGTGAAGATGCTAGGTTTATAAAGAGTAAAAGTGGGAAAGAAGAAAAGGGAAAGAAAAGGAAAAGAAAAAAAAAAAGAAGAAAAAGAAAAAGAAGACGCAAAAACGACGAAGTATTCGGTTGAAACTTGGAGGATCCGACACATATTCCATACCCATACCCATGCCGTATCCGACACGGGTACTCCAACTATTTCGAAGAGTCCGAGTATTAGAGAATTGGAGTACATTTAATCAAGTACATACAAAGAAAAGGAACCGTTTGGCAACAAAGAGGTTGAATACATTAGTTTATATTATGTACAACAAGATGCTTAAAGATCGACATGAAAGATTGAAGTCACTCAAATAAGGAAAAGATCATTTAGTTGTCAAAGATTTTCTGACGATGAATGGATTTCTGATTTTGATGAAGTTCCATCAAACAAAAGTCATGTAGAAGATGATGGACCTTGTCCACAAGGAATTGAAAGTCCTACCCGCATTCAAAGTCAACCTAAAAGAAACAATCTATTTCACAAAAAAGATCCATACATGGCTAATTAAATTTAGGGTAATTAGCAAATAACGTCCCCAACTTTCACTCTTATTGTGAAAAATGTCCATATCTTTCATTTTTTGGTATTTTTACCCTTATTTCCACATTTCATTGCACAAAAGGTCTTTTTCATTTATTTTCTCAATTAAAAATTGTGAAATCACAAATATACCCTTATCTTTAAATAAAGCAAAAAAGAAAAAGAAAAATTAATTGCAACCATGGTCCTATTTTTTTTTTAAAAAAGCGTAAATGAATCCTAAATAAATTCTTAAAAGTGTAATTAGCACATAATCTCCATACCTTTCACTATTATTGCCAAAAAAAAAAAAAAAAAA